GGATCTGAGCTGTTCCTAGCACTGCACTCTTCTGGACAGAGAGCTCTGATGTTGTTCCTAGTATCTGTTGGAGCCACTCTCCCAGATTAGGAGTCATGGCCCCGAGTGCTCCTACCACCACTGGGGCCACTTTGGCCTTTTGGAGGCTGTCGATGTGAAGACCCAGAAGCTCCTCAACCTATGGAGGTTTCCACCCCAAGTCCAACACCCAGAGATTGTACACCAGCTGCAAGGAGGGCGGTCGCGGTCTGATGAGTGTCAAAGCCACTGTCCTGGATGAAACCCAGAGCATCCAGGAGTACATCAGTAAGATGGCGTGTGTGTGTGTGTGTGTGTGTATAAAAAATCAAATTTAGACACTGCTCATCTCATGAGGAAGTGATTTAGTTATTCGGTAGTCCATGATCAAAGGAAATCTTTGAGGCCTGTCTTCAGGAAGAAGCGGAACCCAGGCTCAGGCATGCCCCCTGTTCCTCCCTAACCTGCCCCCAACCCCCCCTCACCAAATACCTGCTGCTTTCTGCGGCTGCCCAATAGCCACGCTTATTCCAGCAACGGTAACAGGGAGGGCGGTGACCCCTGCCGATGACACCACGGCAGCTGGAACGGACATCACGGGCGGCTTGGCCAAAGCGACCTGGGCTGCTTGAGGCGTCTGGGCCTGGATCTGGCCTTGGGCTTGAAGCTGAGAAGCAGCAACACGAGTCTAAGCAGTAAGGAATTGGGATTATTGTACAGGCATAAAGGAAGTCTTGCCTCTTGGCTTGGGGGGGGGGCAGAGGTCCGTGGGAGGGGCGTTGGATGGAAGGAAGGGGGAGACGCTGTCCAAGGCGAATCGAGACGTGTTTATTGGGGATCTAGGAAAAACCGGGGGGGGGTGTATCCCTAGATGCAGGGATCCCAACTCTGAATTCCCCGCTGGAAGAATGCTGTGATTGGAAATGCCTGGCTGTGTCGTTGGTGGCTCCAAGATTGTCCGATGGGGAAATGAACCTGAGGTTGTCCGTGTAGACCTGTGTTTCTCGACCTTGGCAGCTTTAAGAGGTGTGGACTTCAACTCCCAGAATTCTGGGAGTTGAAGTCCACACCTCTTAAAGTTGCCAAGGTCGAGAAACACTGATGTAGACAATACTCAGAAATGCAAAGCGGAGAGTGCAAGGCAGGACTTGGCTCCAAAAAGATGGAGTTTTCACGCTGAGAAAGCTGTCCTGCGTTAATTATCCTGCACAACTCAGCAGCCAGCCAAAGAAACCAGCTTCAGGGTGTCCCTTGCTTTCTTTCTCACGGCGGGAGAATTTTCAACCGCCCAACCATTTTCCTTGGCAGAAACCTGAGTTGGATAAATGGCAACATTCCTTCGCTCCGGAGCATGCCGCCACCCTTCACGGTCACTGTGGCTTGTTGAAGAAATCATAGTGTTTGGATTGCTATGGGAGCTACGAATTGTAATTTATGAAGTCCCAACAGACGTCAGGCTACGCCGGTCCCAAAACAAAACATAGGCTCTTAGTGTGTTTATGAATGGCTGCTAGACTCTGCTCTGTGGATTTGGCTGATGGTGGATTACTCACTAAAGCGTGGTTAAAGGCATTGAGTGAAATGGGCAGATGCTGGCTTCAAATGGGGGTCTTCGTACAAACCAGTGGAGGAGGAAGTTTAATCCCTTACCAGCCATAACAACTAAATGCAATGGTTCTGCAGCCACTGCTTGGCCGGGGCCTGTCAGCCTTCCTGAGTAGACCAGACAGGAAACACGACCAGATGAGCTAACTCTACTTTATTGTAAGGCTACATCAACAGCATCTTGCATGTCTCAAAGTACAATTCTCCCAGTCTCTTTTACTGCCTGAGAAGTTAGGGAGGTTCCTCTCTGAGTTTCTTTCTCCTCCCATTGTGCAGCTGCAGGCTGTGCCCTCTCTTCTCTGATCGTTCCTAAGCAGCATCTCTTCCCTCCGCCTCCCATGGTCATTCCCACGTACCATTCCAGGGCCAATGATACACAGGGAGAGCGGTGTCCTTCAGGCTGCCCTCTAAGACCTAGCGAAGCACTGAGCTGCCCCAGGGAGGCCAAGCAGTAACTCACCAGTCGGGCGACCTGGAGGTTGGTGACCGTGGTGCCAGCAAGGACCGCGCCTGGCCTGGAGGCCGCGACTGCAGTGAGCTGCTGGGTCTGCTGCTGCTGCTGCACTTGGACCTGGGCTGCCTGCTGCTGTGCTCCAGGGGGCCCCTGCGGCTGGGGGGCCTGCTGCTGAGCCGCCTGCATCTTCTGCTTCTGGAACTTGATGAGCTGCTCCTGGTGGGAGGAACCCAACGCCCCAGTCCATCAATCCCAGCTTCTTACGTGGGTTTCCCGAGCCAGGAGGGGAACGGCTGTGGAACCGGAAGCAGCGGGAGGGAGGGCCTGACGAGCCTCCCTGCCACCTGTGCATGAGCCCTCCTCTTCCTTACCTGCGATATCTTGCCTACGGTCTTAATCTGGGGTTGTGATGGGGCCTGCCCTTGGGCCTGGATCTGGGGAACCTGGACTTGTCCTGCTGCCTGTTGTTGCTGCTGCTGCTGCTGGCGCAGGAGCTGGAAGTGATTTTGGGGGATGGTCTTTCCTGACAGCTGCACGCTTGCTGGAGCAGCTGGAGGGAAAAAATAATAATTAAGAGGAAAAAGCACTCTCCAGGTTCCCATCAATAGTGCTGGTATGGAAGGTAGAGCTCCAACACGCGTGGAAGGCAGTAGTTTGAGGAAAACTGGCTTAGGCTTCCCAAAGTGCTTAAAACCCACTAGTGCTGCATTCCAGAGCCCCACAAGGCCAAAGAGCCGCGGATGTTTTATTCTAAAGGCAGCAGCCCCCACAGATCAGATTCACAGGTTCTACCTGGCGTGACCTGAGTGACCAAAGATCTTGGCTGGGTCTGGACTGGGGTCAGATTAGTGGTCACCACGGCCGAGGCTGTCACAGAAGTCACCGCTCGAACTCCAGGCGTAGACGCAAGGGTCACCAATTCTGCAGAGGCAGCTGACGTCCCGGTGGATCTCTGCTGGGGGTGTACCACCTGGGCAGTGGTGGTTCCTGCCCCTGAGGTCTAAAGGGAAGGAGAAAATTCTGAACGCTTGTGCATTTGCAGTCAGGTTAGTCTTGCCTGAACTGAACCATCGTGAGCCGTGATCCCAGCTGCTTGGCTGCAAAGCTTCATCCAGAGCTGATCTTTTCTTGAATCTTTCCGGTCCCGTTTCAGCCACATCTGAAGCGTGGCTACAGTTTATCAATTTGGCCACTTCTTCAAACAGACGTAGGGCGAAACCGTGCCTTGTAAACCCACAACAAATCAGGGTTTGTAACTGAGGGATGCCAAGGAGACAGAAAACCTCATCTGGAATGTGCTGATTCAGCTTTCCAGAAACATCTTAGAAGAACAGGAGGGTGGTCCAGAATGACTGCTGGTACAATATAACAGGGATCTTCTTTTGGTCAATCCAGCCAAATCGCCTTCAAGTTACTTGAATAGGGGTTAGTGTTATAACTGAGCTAAACCACTGCTTTGTATCCACAGGACACCATTTGACGTTAAGTTTCATGAATGCATGAACATCAGAGACAAAGATCATCTCCTCAGTTCAAACTCGCACGTTTCGTTTCTGAGTTGCAGGGATGTACAAGCCGGTTTCCTCCGGAGCTTCGTGGCTATGCAGGATTCCGATCTTACCTAATCTTCCAAATGGTGCCCTCCATTTTAATGGAACATTGTCATGATTGTCACAGAATCAGCTGCCTTAATTTTGTGCTCAAAGGAACATGCACTCACCGCCAGTGTCCCGGGTATAATGGGTGAAGCCAACCGCTTGTTGATCGGTTGAAATGTAGTTGCAGGGACACCAGCCATGGTGTTGACGCTCACGGTGGCTGGAAGCAAAGCCAAGGTCACTCAGGTGGGAGGTGGAACACAACAGGAATTGGGGGTGGGGGGCAACTTTATTCTCCCACTCTCCCCTTTTAAAGGATCGTTTGGCTAGATATACCTGTCTGTATGTTTGTACCAGTCACTGTGGGTTTCATGGTGCCAGCCTGGAAAGAGAAAGGCATCAACATTGGTATGGAAGAAAACCAGGGGCAGGCCACCATGATCCCTTCCAGAGGTTTCCCAGTGTTAACCCCATCAGGCCCGCGACGCGGAGGAGACCCTGGAAGCAGAGCCCAAGTCCGGCTCGGTGCTCATCGCTCCCAGCCTCTAAAGCAGCTTGTGGAGGTTGAGCGTGAATCCTGACCTCTGAGTGGCAACCAGCAGAAGAAATGCTATTGAAGCCACGCATAATGTTCAGTGGCTTTATGGCCCCTTGACTGCCTGCCGGGGGTTCTTCCTCGCCTATCTGCAAGCCCGCAAGGGGGTCTTACCAGCACGGCCGTGTTTGCCACGGTGGTCACGGCCGCCTGCAGCCCGGCTTGGGGCGGCTGAATGCCTTGGCCTGGAACTTGGGGCGGGGCTTGCACCTGCTGTCCCGCCATGGGCTGAGCTGCCTGGGGCCCGGCCTGCTGCTGTTGCTGCTGCTGCTGCTGTGGGGTGGCTTGTTGTTGTGCTCGCTGCTGCTCTGCCAGAGCCTGGAGGACAGAAGGGAGCAGAAGAGTTGGCAGAGTCAGAAGCCCTTGCCGGTTCCTTGGCAAGGTTTTCAGAAGGGGCTTGACTTCGCTCCCTTCTTCCTAGGCTGAGAGAGAGGGACTGGCCCCGAATTACCCAGCCGGCTTCTTGCCGAAGGCAGGACTAGAGTTGACGGCGCCCCAGTTTCTAGCCTGGTTTCTCACATGGCGAGACCAAACTGGCTCGGCTTTCTTGGTGCCTTCCAGTCAGTACTGACACTTTGTGACTACATGGACATGCCCGTGTGGTTTTCTTGACAAGGTTTTTGGAAATGGTTTGCCTTTGCTGCCACCTTCCTAGGGATGAGAGAGAGGGACTGGCCCAAGGTCACCCAGCTGACTCTGTGCCTAAGGTGGGACTAGAACTTACAGTCTCCTGGTTTCTAGCCTGGTGCCTTTAAGCACTACACCAAACTGACTCGTTTTGGGGGGTGCCTTTAAGTGAGTTTTGACTCCTGGCAACTACAGAGACAAGTTCCACTAGGCTAAACTGGCTCTCATTTGTTTACACACACTCCCCTTTTCAAACGTGCTAAGCAAGCCCTACATATCAACTCGTCCCCACTAATAAGAGACAGTGGAGGGACCGCCGTTTTTTTCCCTCTCTCCAGGAAGCTCTGACTGGGTTTTACAGGTTGGACCTGGTCCTAAACTAACCCACCGGCGGCCTCTGGTTTGCATCACCAAAGTTAAGGTGAGGAGCAAATATGAGACTCTGGATCTGTCTGCCTGGAAGACAACCAGTGGTGGAAATCATGGTTTGGTTTTAGTTTCTGAAAGATTCTGCTCTCCATTTTTTGCCCCCAGGTGTAAACACCTTGCATCTAAGCATCACCCTACACCTGGCTAACCACAGCCAGAGCCAGCAGGCATATTTCTCCCTTATGACTTAGTATGACCTGCAAAGAGGCCCAAGAATTTAAAACACAGTCTCTCTCTCTCTCTCTCTCAACATACCTTCTTTTCCTTCGCGATGCGTTCTGCTCGGAGAGACGCAACTTGAATGGGAGGCAGTGGCTTATCATAGTTGATGCCGCTAGAAACAGAGGAATAAGGCAAGTCAGATGTTATGAAAGGAAAATAAAAGAGCCACAAAGCAGTTATAAATGAAACCCTGATGATTTCAGTGCTGGATTGTGTACAAACATATGTTAACAGATCACTTACATAAGAAGGTGTTGGGGTGAATGCCCTAATGCCACATCATCAGCTTTCCCACTTCCTTGCTGTTTCTTACCTTTCCGCAAGGACTGAAGTGTGTTTTGGATTCTTCTGGAAAGGGTTCATGCCGAGCCTGAAATAAAACCCAAACAATGGCCTTTGTTGGAAAGCCGCACAATTTAAAATTGCCATACATCATGAGACGTGTATCCAAATTTGAAACGCAGGAATCTGCTTGAGCACACAAAACAGCGCAGACGCCACAAATTAATATCACAAGGGGCATTTCCGGGCATACCTTTTGTTCGTAATACAGTCCTTATGCATTTCTGAAATGCAAACACTCTTATTTAACACACAACTGCATTCCTTTATAAATATTACACCTGGGGACTGCAAACTGGATTCAGGCCCGTTCAACAGGGAAACGGTTCATTTCCCCCCCCTAATTGTTCTTTTATGAACTTACAAGGGTTTGATGGGTGGGCTTCTCTTCCCAGCAATCATTTTCATGATCTCAAAATGATTTGTGTAAAGATGGGTGTGCGATGCACCTTCGTCCTGAGCGTACAGCTGGTTGGTTCGAAGCGGGCGACTGTTCTTTGTCTAAATGTGAACAAACAACAAACTTCTTACATGGAAGATACATACAGAGAGGCACAGGGAATCACTGGTCTACGCATCAACCCATCTGGGGGTTTCAATGTACCAATCTTCCCTAATCTGGTGTCCTCCAATTATGACAGGCTACGGATTCCACCTAGACTGGAGGATACCAGTCTAGATAGCTAGAAAAGACTAACTCACACAAAGGCTGAGAAGAGATGAAACCTTAACATAATACAGCTTTGAATATGTATTTTCCCGTGTCTTAGCTAAAATTATTTGGAAGAGGTGAACGAGCTACTGATTTATCTCTCAGTTGCATATCCTCTTCTTTTTGATTTTCAGAACTGAACATAGCTTGTTGTAGCACCAGCATTTACCACAACGTAGCATTTGCAAATTCGGCTCCTTTGGTTTGCCCTTCGCAGAATTTTTATTTTATTTATTTATATATCAAATCTGTCACCGCCCATCTCACTGAAAAGCGACTCTTCATCATGTATGAACCCAACCACTGTGGTTTGTAATCCATTGTTTGTGGCTTAGCGTTCTGGAGAATTAGCCCTCTATGGCTCCTTTAAACTATAGCTAGAACCAACCGTGGCTTAGTGTGATGTGAACAGCCAGCCAGAGATTGCAGAAGGCTTGCAAACTCTGACTCAAGCTAAGTATGGTTAGCATTAAAACTGGGGTTAACTTTAAAACAGAAATCCAAGCTGGCGGTGGCTTGCTTAACAAGATGGAAGAAAGGAAAAATAAACCTGGAGCTGGAACTCAGTTTCACAGGCTCTCTGAGAGAGCAGGAAGCCTTATGTTCCTGCAGGGTGCTGCTAGGAAGGAAGGGTACACAGACATGGAAAAACAAAGCCAGCCAGATCGAGCTGCAACTTCGCAAAATCATAAAAGCCGGAGATTAAACGGCCAGGGATGTTTCTACTGCATTGCCACAGTACATTTAAATCGGACAGAGCATCCACGTTTGCTTCCGTGCTTCTACATCTTTGGAACCACCTTCACCTCTAAGCAGCCCAGACTGTGGGAAGCCAGTTCCACGTCCACTCTACAAGCCACCACACTGCTGTCAATGGATCACTGCAGCAGGGCACGAAAGCTGTTCATTATCAGACAATAATGTGCTTCTGAAACCCCTCTCTTCTCTCCCTGGCCTTTCCTTCCACCCTGATCGAGGGTCTCCTCCTTGAGCTTCAAGAACGCCACAGGAGCGAGTTCTCTTCAAACGTTTCCCAAGTGCAGGCTGGGTCTCCCCATCACCCTAAAACTTGCATTGTTTTAAAGACTGGTTTGCTGAACAAGCCACAATGCCCTGGCTAAAACCAACAGGCTAAGCCAAGAGCCACAATTTACACACCCGCAGGGGTTGGATCTGCGTAACGTGCGGAGCCGAAGTCAAGCCAACCGCACGAAGGCTTAGTGTCATGCGTGAACTCGGCCACGCATCTGTGCATGGTACACAGAGACATGTACCTTTTTCTCTGAACATTCGTCTCCCAATAAACTTGTAAACTGCAAGTTTGCAGCCTCACAAATCTTTCAACAAAGGTTGCTTTTTTTCCCCCTGAAAAAAAGCTTACGATTTGTGACCTGAGACAGAAGGCTCTTCATCCAGAGTACCCAGCTTTGCCCCCTCAATTGGGGGGGGGGGACTCCCCGTTGCAGAGAACCCCTCCGAAGGACCCCTAAAACTAGTAATAATTAGGCTATGGCCTGGTTCAAAATCTGCCGGGGCGATTTGA